TGGGAAACGGACCAACTTTTTGGAAGCGGGCCATGCTTTATGGGATATTCGACAGAGCCTCTATGGAAACCGAACGAGCTTCTATGTAAACCCACCAGGCCGGTAGGCAGAAATCCGCCGGGAAGGCACCCCCTATTGGCGTGATATGCAGTGAACTCATTCACCAGTATCTAGAGGTAAAAAACCCAGAGGACTCACTTTGATCAAATTTGTTGATGAGTCCCCCTGGGGCTTTCAAAACTGTGTTGGTCTGATCTAAGGTATCACTGACAGTGTGTGGTTCTGGTAGAAGTTATTGCTAATGGTGTAACAGTGTGTTGGTCCGGGTCAAAGTTGTTATTATCTCACATTTGTGCAATACAATTTTGACTTTGAATGGTAAGACTTGTGCATGTGGATTCCCCACCCTGCTCTTGACACAAGTCAGTTGTCCCAATCATGGTACAGTGTGCAACACAAGTCGTTGACCACACCTCTCCTGCAAAAAAGCGGATTGTTCACTTGTAATATCCATGCTACAAACATGTAATATGTGTCAAAAGACTCTAAATCAAATGAGTAATGAGAAAACGTGAAGTATGTATGTACATGTCTTTAAGAAGCCTTGAAGAAATGCTTTCAACTAGTTATATGCAATTCGTGGCAATCCAATACATATTTTCTTGTTCAGGTGTGGCAGTATCTTTGGATATACCTTAAAAGATTGTACCATGAATACTACAAGTAAACATTCAGCTCAAAGTTCCCCTTTTTTTGCAGGAGAGGTGTGATTATGACTTGTTGCACACTGTCCAGGGGGCCAACCCACATTGACCTGTAGGGTTATCTGTGTTTGATGGAAATACTATTTGGTGTCTTTCCTGATGAATGCCCCAATATCTATGTCATCCATCTTGAATATCTCCTTGATCATTTTGATCCTGATGTCTCCAAATGCCTGATCAGTTGCCAGGTAATCAACTCAAGCTAAGGCACAAGCACAAGAGTGTTGGCAACACCTCCAGATAACATCCTGATTCTGGACCCCACCACTGGTTCCAGTCACAATGGTAGCAGTACCCTTGTGACATTTGGGAATTTGACTGGCTGAAAGGCTTGACCCCTTGTATAAGAGTGATTTTGTCTCTTCTCTGGACCCAAAAGCTCCTGAAATCATATGCCACTTTTTCTGCAGTTGGGGTACCCACCTGGGAAATGCCATAGGAAAAGACAATCCCAAGGATGAGTGATGGTTCAGGATTCTTGCACCACCTGTTTATCCTATTGATTGGGATACCATGTTGAAGAAGGATTGTTGTCTCAGGCGTGATCCTGAAGGAATCCTCAGGCAATGATTCCCACAGGTAAGAGGGCCTTATCTTTGTATCTAACCTGACTCAGTCACATGGATGTGTGTTGCTTGAACCTTTGGTGTCAATATATATAACACCCTTGACACACCTTTGAACTGTGCTGCTCCCAACATGACAACAGTGGAATTACCTCCCCAATCAACCAAAACAATGTTACCATGTTCTTGTTTAAATTATAGCACAAATGAATTTGGAATGACAGATGATTTATATATGTTCAGTGTAGCCTTCAACCGAGCAATAGTTAAAAAGTTTACTTGCAGGGACCCTGTGGTTTGGCTTTTGGGTCATTTGCCAAACCACATGACAATTAATTGGACCCAATGAAATTATTTTGCAAAAATGTTAAATACGGCACACTGTTCATGCAAATGCTATTCAATGGGGTCCCTTGTGGAATATTCATAGTAATTTACATAGGTGTGTGGCCATTGGGCCCCAAGGTGGATTGCCAACAGTCCAACATTTTTTGATCAAAATTGAGCATCACAAAGTCATCTTACACAAATGATCATTTGATCAAAATTGAACATCACAAGAAGCCAGTCATTCCAGTCATTACCATAAGAGTGCAGACTGGCTGTGTCAGATCTCTCTGCTTTGTGTAAAGTTATGTATAGAAGTCAAAAAAGATGTGCTATATATGTTTGGTGAGGACTTAATGGTTGAAAAAATCACATGGGCCTCTCTGAATTTGCTTGTTGTTCATTTGATTGACCACATGACATCTAATTGGACACAATTAAATCAATGGCAAAAAATGAGAAATCCAGTCAACAGTTCATGCAGCTGCTATCCATTGGGACACCCAGTTGAATAGCCCCAACAAATGACACAAATGCCTGCCCTGCCACTTGGGCCTCCATTTGGATGACCCAACCTAGGACATTTCCAGTGATGTTTACTGCTCTCTGATGGAGCACTAGCCACAATGTATACTATTCACCATTGGGCCTCTGGGTGTATTATCAAACATTCATAGTGATGTCTTTATGAGTTCAAACAAAGTCCATTTGTGTCAAACTCTGCATAAAAGTCCCAAAAATTAATATTCACACATACACAATGATTTATATTTGGCACACACAATTCTTCAGCCCACAATTAATGGAGCTCAGGCAGTTGAACATAACAGGACTAGTATGATTTGGATTGTTTATCTGTATCCACTCCTACACAACCATTGTATTTACATTTACTGGTCCAGTTGGGCAGGAGTAAAATATCAAGTACTACATCCTCCTGCTCTAAACTTTCATCATAAAAATCATAAATGGGAGATTGAATTCAATTTGGTTCTCCTGTTTACAACTTGAACACACCATTATATTGGACCAGAGCATTCATCCCCCACTTACAAATAAAACATCCTTGAATTTTGTAACAATAAACAATGTGGGTTTCTGAATTCAGGCGCCAGTGGCCAAATAGATAAAAGTCAGACAGACTGTGGAAGTTATTCCTCCTGTGTTTGCAAGACACCTGGACTGAAATGGGTGATCATATCCCAATCAGGCATTGTCAGTCAGGCTGTTTGAGTCAAAGACCCCCTTGTTTCATTTATGATGATCCAGGTGTGAGTACAAGGCTTGGGAAATTTAAGCAGCCCCCACTCACTGACCAACCAAAATCTCACCAGATCCGCACACTTGCAATGGGGGGCAAGGCTTGGGAAATTTAACCTCACTGGGTTGGCCAACTTAGTACATGTCCCCAGTTTCGGTGGGCCAGGGAACAGCTCATACCGGGCCACTCACTCAAAACAATCCAAATAGCACCAAACGCCATACATTCTTCAACCTTCTCACAAGCACCAAGGGACACCATATATTCTTCAACCTTCTCACAAGCTCCACTTCAAATAAAACAATCTCAATCAACAGCCCATTGACCTGTAAGTGCCTCTTCACCACACTTTCCGTAATTATCTATGTACATCTCTAGGTATGACCCACCAGCACAGCTTCGGGCACCACAGCACCAGGGACTCAGCCAACCAAACCAGCTGGGGCAGTCCATGATGAAACTCGGCAAACATTCAACTTTCGGACAGTCATAGTTGAACAAGCATGTGAGTCCTTCCACTCTGACCTCTTTTTCTCTAGACTGCTTTCCGAAACGCATTGTGGGACAGTGGCAATGAATCAGCAACAACACCCCTCCGGCCATCAAGACTCGATTCGAACGTCCAACAAGCCTCTGGCGAAAGCTCCTCGCGGTATGACCCCTTTGCCGATCCTTACCATCGTGAGGAAGGCGGCCATCACACCCGGGAAGGCACAGGATACTCGACAGTCGTTCTGGTTGATTCCCCGCAAGCCAGCAATGCTCCAGCTGCTGACCCCTTCAACAACGAAGCCGAGACTGCCGCTCACTGGGGTCACTCTGGCGCAGGTTTATCGAACCTGGGTCTGGTCAGCCCCCCTGGTAATCGGTTGCTATCTCCGAAGCAGCTCGAACGAGGCGGGACCTGGTGGGACCGGCTTCGATATGGCTCCGACAAGCATGGCGTCGTCAACCACTCACCTGGGGCCATCCACCCCATCCGAGATCCGACTCCGGCCCCTCCGATCCCCCCAATCAATCGATCCGATGACGCCCATCCAGCCACACAGACCCCAACTGCAGAGTCAGTTGAGCATCATCCTATAGACGAGCATGGGAGATGTCGGAATCGGTCGAATTCCAAGGAGGATGAAGAAGGGCCGAATAACCTGACCCAGACGTCCCAGAATCAGCGTTCTCTTGACCTTCTTACCCTCCTTTCATACCTCATCATTACTTTCACTCGCTTGTTTCTTATCTCCTCCTCCTAAGCTCTCCTCACCCAGCTTCCCTCTCACGCCATCCAGATCACTTATACCACCCTTTCCAATCGATCAACCTCTAACCACGCAATGTCTTCCCCTGAAGTTGCTGCCCCTGCCGTGATCGAGCCCACTGTTGCTCCTGCTGCCGAGCTCACAACCTCTGCACCCGCTGATGTGGTAGCCGAAACCCCTGCGGCCACTGTCGATCAACCCACCACTGAGGCCGCCGAGACTGACGCAGCTGCACCAGCCGTAAGTCGCGTTCCATTCTTATCGATCGCGCGACACCACCTCACCATCACACTCACCCGGCTTACCACAACAACAACAACATCACAGCAAAGAGAAAGCCAACCAGCATAACACAAACATCAATATCATCACCCAACACCAAGACCATCATCACCCTCCTCAACAGCAACAACAACAATAACGAGGCTCAGCCAGTCATACCCAGACACAGAACAACAGACTGTCCGCACTCCCTCCGAGCATGGCACGGAACCGACTGCCGAAGCTCCAGGAGGTCCTAGCCAGACAGACCAGACCGCCCGTCGATCTGTCAGTCCTCTCTCTCTCTCTAACACACAACAACCTTTGCTCAGGATGACTGACGACAACCGATCCGTCCTGTCTTCAGCTACTGCTTCTACCTCTATCTCCAGCGGGTGAAGGCCGAAGACTCGCTTGACTGGTGGCCTTCACTGGCTGCGAAGGATGGCGGTGGAAATTAACCAAGGGCAGCACAGGATCACTCGGTCTTGGGTAATCAGGAGTATCCGGGGATCTCGGGGATGGGGATCTAGATAATGAGGTCGATAGGTTAATGAGCTCATCTGCCAGACTACCACATCAAACCACCAACAAACGATGACATAACATCCAATCACTCGATTCATTCCTCAATCGTAAGTCCAGCAAACTTGACAATATCACCACGTGTAGAGCCAACCGACTGACAATGATGACTGGATGCATGTACATAACGATTCAGAACTTGGCATTTGGCGAGTGACGTCATTGTAGGGAGATCGGGGACGGCTGAAGTTGTTGATCAATCCAACCGGCTCGAGGCAACCAACAAGAAGTTGACATCAACCTTATAAACTCGATCGAAAACACTTCCTGCTTCTTATCAGCCTCAGACGATCGATGATGATGATGACCATCCGACGAACCGCTTCATTTTTGTCTCCTTGTTCACTCACCCTTGCGAGACGCTACCAATCTAGTCAAACCCCGAGCTACCAGAACATAACCTATTCCAACCCATCACCCGCAGTTGGTCTCTTGACTCTCAACCGACCGAAGGCACTCAACGCACTCTCGTCGCCTCTGTTTACCGATATCAACGATATCTTGAGCTCGATAAACTCCTCCTCCTCTTCAGTTAAATGTCTCGTCCTCACCGGATCCGAAAAATCGTTTGCAGCCGGGGCCGACATCACCGAGATGGCTGAGCGCTCATTGGCCGAGGTCGTTTGGGAAAGAGAAGTAGGAAAAAGCAATCGCGTTTGCTCCCGACACTGGTTAGTCATCAATACAATCTCACTGCCTGTTTCGCTTAGTCTGATCTCACTCCACTACTTGACCAATCCTGGCAGGTAACATGGAAGTCCTGGCGCGCTATGGGACTTTGTATCAAAAAGAAAAATGGCTTAAACCGCTGATGAATGGCCAAACCCGTAGTTTATAATCCTAGTCAGTTCTCTCTCTCTCTCTCTCTCTATCAACTCTCAGTATGTTGGACTCATGTTTGTCCCCTTTTACTTTTTTTTTAGTCAATGGGATTTCTAGACAGAGTCGACTGATGAACGAGACGCAGAATTTCTTCCAACGACCCAGTAAGGAGCTCTGTTGATTATTAATGTTATCACAAACGAGAGATCAAGAGAGAGATTGACGATAACGGGAACCGAACGCCACAGATGCCGCCCAATCGATAGACAGCTCGCGGGTTTCCCAGCAGGGGATGCCGAGCCCCAAGCCTCCCCACGTCTCGCCGCGAGTTGGGCTACAACCTTCAGACCGGTGGGAGTGATAACCATCTCGTGCTTTGGGACCTTCGTCCGATCGGGCTCACCGGCTCCAAGGTGGAAAAGATCTGCGATTTATGTCAGTCTACTCTCTCCATTTTTTTCCGGCTTTTCGTTTTCTCAAAAACGGCCAAACGAGGAACATAGTCACTGGATACTGATCAAACAAAATTGTGATTTTAGGCCACATTACGATCAACAAGAATGCAGTCTCAGGGGACACATCGGCGCAAGTACCTGGAGGCGTGCGGCTGGGCACCTCGGCCCTGACCTCGCGATCGATGGGTCCGCAAGAGATGGTCGAGGCGGCCAACTTCATGCATCGGGCCGTCCAGATCGCGCTCGTCTTGCAAGAAGAAGCCGGCTCTAAACAGCTCAAGGACTTCCTCCTCAAAGCCACGCAGGGCGACGGACAGGGAAAGAAACTGCTCGAGCAGTTGCATCTCGACGTTGGCGAATTCAGTCGTCGGTTCGGACTCCCAGGAGTCGACGTCAATTCCATCAAAACCCCGGACATCAAGTCTTGATCTCTTCCTCCTCCTCGTCACACATCATCTATATATCGTTCTTTTTTGTCTACTTGAGCCCCATTTCTCTCTCTCTCTGTCTCTCTCAATATCTTTATCTTTCATATCCTTCTTTACTTCTTCCAATTCTTGAACTACACAAGATCCCCGATCAGGACGACGATCTGCCGGTCCGGCCGTTACGTCAGAGCAGCACTCGGGCCCGCACGCCCATCCAACCGGTCATCCGTCAGTCCCCTCCCCCCGCTTCCCCTAACCATCCATGACACTGACTCTTGTTGGGGTCCCTTTTTGTTTGTGTAATAGCACGGTCCTCGGCGATCACCAGGACAGACCTGATAGCCTCGGCCGAGCGGACCGATACCTGCTCAGCGGGGCCGAGAAGGAGATCTACCTGCCCTTGAGCCGGCGCATCCACAACTTCCCAATCAACAGCACCAGTCTGCCGCATGCGGGCAGCCCGGACTATGACGAAGAAGCTAGCTTCTTGGCTATGGTCCCCGACCTCTTTGTCAGGAAGAAAGAATACATCTTTCGAAGGTCAGTCCCTCCCTCCCTTCTGTCTCTTCTCTCTTTGTCGGTCTAATTGATTGGGTTGGGCATTCGAATTAGCATGGAACGAGACACCTTTCCTCGGTTTCTGCGCGCCAAAGCCTTGGGTAATCTGACCCCGATGAGCAGCATCATCCGGTTATCTGTGGGCTTGGTGGCCATATGGATCGGCCTATCGGTTGCTCTCTCGCTCATATTCATTTGGCTTGAATCACAGGCTGTCAAATCCGCCAGGATCATCAAAGTGCATTCAATGTTCTGACTCCTCCCGGAGACTTTATATCTGGCAATCAATCTGATGGATAGATTCCTGACCCAAGTGGAGGCCTTGATCAAGTTCTATGCTAACCAAAATCTTTCTTTTGCAAGACATTTATACACTCCCCCCCTTTCACAAATTGTTATTGACGTAATCTCATGAATGCTGACCAATGGTGTTTCCCTTTTTGCATAACAGTGAAACGTTACTGGATTTGAAACTGTACTCACTCCAAAGTAAGTCCTCTTTCTAATCAGCATAATTTTGCTTCATGTGATTGCTGGGATTGCATGGCTGCTGTGTGATGCCTGCTGAGCGCGAAGCTCAGCAAGCATCACATTGTGGGATTGATGTGGCCTTGGCGCGAAGACTTGGCCCCATTAATTCCTGGCCAAACAATCACTCAACATATGGTGGGCTAACCCATATTTGTTTTGTGCTAAGATGGATGGACCGGAGGTATTCAGTGTTGCTGGCCTCAAGAGAGGATCTGATTATGACGGTGATAGAAGCTTGAACTCCCAGGCCATCAACTTCTTAAATTCTCAGCACCAACAGTCATACCAGCGGGTGGTTGACTTCGATCTTCACGCAGTCTTCTTAATGCAAGAATTTCGAGCAGAAGATACCATTCAACAAATCATTACTATGATCAGCACCACTTTCACCGAAGAATACCCACCAAAAAACACCCTCCAACAGCAGTTGGTTAATGCAGCCAAATTAGTCAACCAAAGGATCCAAAACTACGAACAGCAACCTCACATGCTGAAGCCATTTTGCCTCAGGTTCCCAACTTACAGTGATGTTCTTAAGCATTGTATGGAGTTGCAGGATAAATGTGAGGTATTACCAAACGATAAAATGGTTATTCTGATTGATGAGGGGGGTGTATGTGTTGGAGTTGGACTTCCTCCAAAGCCCCAATCCACTCAGAGCATACATACCCCTCGAGATGTAAGTAATCTTTTGGAAAAATGTCTTTGGAGAATCCAGACTCACCTTGGTGTATGATTAGCGCCGGGCAACAGATAGACTAGATCAATTTGTTAATGATAATGTTCTTCAAAGCGTGGAGGCTCCAATGATCCAATCTGGCGAAATGTCTAATCAGTTTCCGACTTCCCAGTTCCCACTTTCCACCAAGAACAAAGGGGAGATAAGAGCCAGGCCGGAAGCCAAGAAATCAACTTGCTCTTTCCAAGCATATGGATTTGGGTTGGGCAGTGTGAGAAATGCTTCTTTAGTGTTTTTTCGATTCCAAAGCAATACTGACTTTGAAATTGCACTGAACCACTTACTTTCCACAAGCCACTTTCGGCTGGAGCTGCAGACAAAACAATCAAGTTTGCCACCTATAGCATCAAGAAAATTGACCTACAAGGCCACGGGGACCATTGGAAATCCGATCCCAAGCCCAATCTTCCAGAACCACTCAGATCCGACCCTGGGTCCTACAATGCGAGGCCTGGTGGAACTTCGACATGACATGGTCTTCTACCATAGGATATCTTACTGGATAAAATAAAGTATTTTTACCAGATGCATCTCCATTGCAGGAAGCGCAGTGAAGTACTTGGAAAAGAAGGCATCAACCACGGTGAAAGAGTCTATTCAGGTAGAAAAAAATATAATCATTGCAGGTAAGTATAAGAAGAATATCTATTTGACCGGAATATAATTCTGACTTTGAATTGAGCATTGAAAAGCCCGAACCATCACAGTCAATACCCATCCAAACACACATAGAGACCGAAACAATGCCCTGTTGATGGATAGTGTATTCTTCTTTGGAAATCATATCGGTGGACATTTCCTTCTCCCTGGGCTTGGTGTTGCATATCCAGGCTTGCACGGGTATTCCTTTCACGGTCCATTTCGCATTCTCTTCCAAGGTGTTTCCCAGTTCCACTTCACAGAAGACATTACAGACCCGAGACGATATTCAGTTGCCATGTGGAGCCGAGCCTCCTCTTTTTCTGCAATTGCTCGATTTTCCGCACATGACAATGGAAATGAGGTATGATCAATCTAGATATTTAATCATGTATGTACTAAACTGACCATATTTTGTCTTGGATCAACAGAAGTTTAGCGATGATAAATATTGGCTCCCACTTTATCCTGAATACAACCCTAAAATTACTTCAGATCTCCTCAAAGCTGAAGTGAAAATTGCCAAGAAAGAAGCCAAGAAAGAATCCAAAAAGAGACAAAAAACCGAAAACTAGCTTTTATTTATTGGTGTCTACATATCTCTGTTCATCTTATCTCTGTGTGCCAATCTGTCGGATTTTTCTTAAGAAGAAAACAACTCATCAAATGAAAGAAATAAACAGGAGTTGGTAGTTTTTAATTAAAGGATTTGTAGTGACAATTCTTTGGAAATCGGTCTGAATTCCTCTTGAAAGAAATCAAATAGCAATGTGAAATACATAAACCTATTTAAGACTGCCCTCGAAGAATTTTCTTTTGATAAGTTCTCAACTACCTTGAAAAAAGCTGGGGAAAAATATAATAAGACTATGTTTATTCAGAGGTGTCCGACACAAGGGTAAAACACCATTCTTAATATCATCAAGCCACTTTCCCGTATAGGATTACGCATATATCTAACCCAATTGCTAACTCATCACCCTTCAGAGTTGAATTCTCTAACTGGACTATCTTAATGCCAGGATGATCCTCTTCCAGCAAAGTCACCGGATCTCTTTGTTTGGGGAAAACTGGACCCTTTCTCTTGGGGGAAGGATCGTATTCAACTCCAAGTGCAAGACCTGAAAAAGAAGTTTATTAACCATGATCAATCAAATCAACTCATACCTTCCAAATGACAGCACCCACATAGTAATCTATTGAGCTCCTGGCGCAACTGGGTTCTTACAGTATCGGCATGTTTCGGTCGTTTGGCAGGCCTATTGGTTGCAGCTGAAGATTCTTGAAGAACTTGTTGAATATCTCTTCCATGACTGTACGCTTCAAAGTTCTCCTTGGCAAACCACTTCGACTTCGCAATTTGCAGCCAGGAGGGATCGTTTGACAACTCTTCACAGAAGCTTCCATTCCCGGGGAACCTGGTCGCTGACAACAAGTAAAATGTCAAGTTGTACAGGTTGGAAACAGTGAAAAGCTGAAAAGAAATCAATATTTTCAGATGTATAATCACCATTAATGCCAAACAGACTGTCCTTATTTACCTCGGAATTGATACGGAAGATATGCTTGAGTGCTCTTTGTGAAACCACCGACGTATTATCAGGAGCTTGAGAATTACCTGCCAAGAACTCAACCTTTTCATGATTAACCAATCTTTGATAAAGAGGTCGATAGAGGGCCTCTTCCTCAGGAGTAAGAGATTCTTCTTCTTCTTCTTCCTCCGTATCATGGTTGTCCAGGGAAGTAGGTAGTTTTGAAAAGAAGCGAAAAATCTTTTCATCGAAAACATTTTTTTCATCGTCGGAGAGGGCAGCCCATGCCTGTCCAAGGTGGACATTTCTTTCTTCCCATCCCTCAGAACAACCTTTTGGAGGAACTAGAAATTGAGAATCAGGAAGATATTGGTCAGTGAAAACATTCAAAATGTGATGATGTACTAGTAATCTCACCTGGTGTAATTGAGCTTTCCATGCTGAAAGCTACATACCGATTCCAATTGCTCTTTCTTCTTGGTGGTTGATCTTCTCCCCTGAGTAGATTCAATCCGGTTGTCAGCTTTCTTGATAAGTTGAAAATAAAGATAAAACTTACAACCAAGAGTTGACACTCTTTTCAGAAACATTCCCAATCAGCGCCAGCATCAACTTAATCTTACAGTAGTTCTTTTTGTGGAATAACAGTGCTTCTTGTACTTCAGTAGGAATCCGGTTAGAAGTTCGAGTTTGCTTTCCTAAGACATCACGAAGTTGTTTATCGGTCCAAGACGACATGTGGCTTTCATAGTTCTCCAAAGTGAAAGCAATCTCATCGGAATCGGAATGTTCTTCGTGGTCACTGGATTCCCGATCACTTGAACCTCTGCTGCTATCACCTCCAACACGACCTCCACGACCTCCACGACCTCCACGACCTCCACGACCTCCACGACCTCCACGACCTCCACGACCGCCACGACCGCCACGACCTCCACGACCGCCACGACTGCCACTACCGCCATGACCTATCCCATTAGTTTGTCTTCCTTTGGAGTTACTAGTTGATCGAGTTTCAGGCATGATTGATTGGAGTGATGCAGAAGGAAGTGAAATGATATAAGATGGGTTGTGTGTTTGAGTTAAGTTTGGTATGATTTTGGTGAGTTCAGTTCAGTTTGGCTCTGCTTCAAGTGGCTGTTAGGGTTTTCTATGGTTGTAGTTTCCGGTTTGCACACACACTTGAGGCACTGGCAGTGCGCACTCTTGAGGCACAGGCAGAGCGCGCACTTGAGGCACAGGCAGAGCACACACTTGAGGCATTCCCACCCAGCCAAATTTCAAAGCAGTTGCCACCCACCACATGAAATAAAAAAATCATGTTATGTAAAAATCATTTCTGCAATTGCTGATGAAAAACACTATTTTTTGGACATGGTGGGTGATTTGCCTTTTGGGGATGCCTGATACTGTTTGTTGAATTTGGCTTTTTTTTGAATCAAATTAATTTTGAGCTGGAAAGAAAAAATCAACTTGCCTCTGCCAATGGATTGATTGTTGTGTTTTGTTAAGACACCCCCATACACATAAAATGAGTATTGCTTGGACTGTGTGAATCACTTGAGGTGCAAAATTGAAATGTAGGTGCCAGTAGGCACACATGATGTGCATGTGCACCCAGCCTGCAGCCAGTGTAGTTACCATAGTTGGGTGGATGGTGATTTCAAGTTGTACAGTGGAAAGTGGCAGCCTATTTTGGATCCCAGAGATTCAAAAGAGAAACAAGATGAAAAGCAAAGTTTCAAAATTTGTGAAAGAAAAAATAATTTTATCCCAAAGCTTTGATATTCATTTTGGGGGAGGGAGAGTGCTGAGAGGAAAAAAGACTGCTACATAAGAAGAGGAATAATACATGAAATTTTTGGAAAAAATGATTTCTAGATGGCTTGAAACAGTCCACAATGAAGTAAAGCACTAGAATTTACTATTGTGACTCAAATCTGGACAACAAACCTGGCTCACCCTTTTTCGGTTCCAATGTTTTCAATTTATAATCAGTCTATCTATGTTCCATTTTTGCTTTCTTTCACAACTTCCATTTTCCCAAAATGTGGAGGCTTTTGAAAAAAGTCATTTTCATTCATTATTTGTCACACATTAGCCAATTTTCACTGTATACTCCTGGGGGTGGCTGGGGCGGAGGGAGCTGGCAGAGCTGGGTATGACTGGGGCGGAGGGAGCTGGCAGAGCTGGGTATGACTGGGAGGGAGGGAGCTGGCAGAGCTGGGTATCACTGGGGAGGCAGGAGCTGGCAG